AGCTTGGAAAATGTTTGATCTTGTTACGATCGAGCCGGGAGGAAAACAATATTCAGTATGTAAGAAGTGTGGAATCCAATACATCGCCGAAAGTAATCATGGGACGAAAAACATGTTAAGACACATGAAAAATTATAAGAAAGCTACTAGAAAGGATATTGAGGATTTATCTAACTCAAAAGATTCTATAATGAGTTCTTCGAGATTTAATTTTGACCCAAATAAGTTTAGGGAGCTCTTAGTCTCGGCCATTATTATGCACGATCTGTCATTTTAAATTGTTGAGTATGAAGGTATTCGAGCAATCTTTTCATATCTTTGCGAGGATCTAAAACACATATCAAGAAACACGGTTAAAGCCAATGTTCTTAAAATCTATGAAAGAGAGAAATATAGGCTAAAAGAAGCTTTTGAATCGATTCCGGGTAAAATTAACTTGGATTTGTGGACACTAATAGCCACCGACGGATATATTTGTCTCACGGCACACTACATTGATCATGAGTGGAAATTACAAAATCGGAATAGCCACCGACGGATATATTTGTCTCACGGCACACTACATTGATCATGAGTGGAAATTACAAAATCGGGTTCTTAACTTTTATATTTGTCTCACGGCACACTACATTGATCATGAGTGGAAATTACAAAATCGGGTTCTTAACTTTTCTTGTATGCCACCTCCTCATTCTGGTGTTGCCATTTATGAGAAGATCTATAAGTTGTTAGTTGATTGGAAAATTAAAAAGAAGTTGTTTTCTTTCACTCTTGATAATACCTCTGCAAATAATGTTTTTGTTGATTTATTAAAAACACAACTTAATTTGAAAGAAGCACCTCTTAGGAAGGGAGAATTTTATACATATTAGATGTTGTACTTATATCCTCAACTTGATTGTCCAAAACGGTTTAAAAGAAGTCCATGATTGTATTGATAAAATTCGAGAAAGTATCAAGTATATAAAGGTTCTCAAATTAGAAAACAAAAATTTTGGGAATGTGTCTTTCATGAATCTTTGGAAGTGAAAAAGAGTTTAAGACAAGATGTTCCAACAAGATGAATGCTACTTTTCTAATGCTTGAGAGTGCTTTATAATATCATCGTGCATTTATACATATGCAATTGAGTGATTCAAACTACTCAAGACTTTGTCCATCTCAAGAAGAATGGAATAAGGTCGAAAAGGTTAAGAGGTTATTATCAACTTTCTATAACGTCACTTGTCTTTTCTCCGGTACAAATTATCCAACAACTAATCTCTACTTTCTTCAAGTATTTCTTGTACATTTTGATTGCTATTAACTTAACATATTCATCATTATCTTTCATCCCACTCTTTAAAGTACGTTGCACAACAAATACTTAAAAAAAGTAGAGATTAGCCGTTGGATAATTTGTACAGGAGAAAAGACAAGTAACGTTATAGAAAGTGGCTAATAACCTCTTAACCTTCTCGGCCTTATCCCATTCTTCTTGAGATGGACAAAGTCTTGAGTAGTTTGATTCACTCAATTGCATGTGTATAAATGCACAACGATAGTATAAAGCACTCTCAAGCATTAGAAAAGTAGCATTCCATGTTGTTGAAACATCTTGCCTTAAACTCTTTTTTACTTCCAAATATTCATGAGAGATACATTCCCAAAATTTTTGTTTTCTAATTTGAGAGCATTTTATATACTTGACGCTTTCTAGAATTTTATCAATACAACCATGAACTTCTTTTAAACCATCTTAGACAATCAAGTTAAGGATATGAGTACAACATCTAATATGAATAAAATTCTCCCTTCCTAAGAAGTGTTTCTTTCAATTAAGTTGTGTTTTTAATAAATTAACAAAAACATCATTTGCAGAGGAATTATCAAGAGTGAAAGAAAACTTCTTTTCAATTTTTCAATCAACTAACAACTTTTAGATCTTCTCACAAATGGCAACACCAGAATGAGGAGGTGGCATATAAGAAAAGTTAAGAACCTGATTTAGTATCTGCCAGTGGCTATTGATGTCTACAAATCAGAAGTCAAGTTAATTCTACCCGGAATCGATTCAAAAGATTCTTTTAGCCTAATTTTCTCTCTTCCATAGATTTTAAGAACATCGGCTTTAACCGTATTTTTTGATATATGTTTTAGATCTTCACAAAGATATGAGAAGATTGCACGAATACCTTCATACTCAACAAATTGAAATGACAAATCGTGTATAATGATGACCGAGACTAAGAGCTCCTTGAACTTATCCGAGTCAAAATTAAATCTCGAAGAACTCATTATGAAATCTTTGAGTTAGATAAATCCTCAATATCCTTTCTGGTAGCTTTCTTACAATTTTTCATGTGTCTTAACATATTTTTCGTCCTATGATTACCTTCGATGATGTATTGGATTCCACACTTCTTACATAATGAATATTGTTTCCCTCCCGGCTCGATCGTAACAAGATCAAACATTTTTCAAGCTTTAGATGTTAATCTTCTTTTTCTTTTTTTGTCAATTATCCCTCTACGTTTTTTAATAGAACTAAATATTTCTTCTAATTCTTCTTCATTAGATGAACCCACTTCTAAACCATCCTTTATAGGATTATTGGTAGGATTTGACTCTAACTGTGAAAAAAAAATACAAAACCGCATAAGTTTAAGACGGGAGAGATAAAAAAGGGACACTTTTGTCTGCAATAATAAGCTAATGTAATTTATCTTTCATCACAAAAATCAAAGTTTAATCATCAATCAAAACCGATAATGATTCAGACTTTAATAGAAATTTGACGAAAGCATGAGAATTTGATGCATCTTTAACTAGAGAATTGCGGGTAAAAATTAGAGACAGAGAAAATAAAAGGATAGAGGTAAGAGAAAGTCAAATGAAAACTTACAGCAAAATTCAAGCTCTCATCGCCGCCGGTCATCGCTCGTCGCCACTCCCGCGCTCGCTGCCACTCTACGCTCGCTGCGTGAGCTTCGTGATGGGAAATCTAGAGCTTCTCCTCTTTTTTTCTCTACAGCGCGTTTATGGGAAATCTAGGGCTTCTCTTTTTTATCCCTCTTACAGCGGGTCGGTGTTTGTGTTATATGGGTCAGTCGGGTCAATCCGAATTGACCTATTTAATAAATGGATAAATTTGGATTGACCCGTTTATGACCCGACCCATGTAATTCAACTCATACCCATTATAAACAGGTCGGGTTGATGAGTCGGGTCATAAATTGCCACCCCTAGCCAACAACACACAAGAAGATGCTTGTAAAAGTTTGGAATTTTTTTGGCACACTGCAACTCCAGTTTCTTCTAAATAAACTTCTTCTTTTGTCCGTTTCTACCTCCAGCAGAGCTAAATTGAAAACTTTTAGAACAGTTTCTTACTCAACTCTGGAAAGCATAGCCTTTAAGTGAAAACTCGAGGTTCTTTTGTAATATGTGGGAAAAAGTTTAAGGCTTTAAGCCATATAAGAAAGAGTCTCAAGTAGGCAATTTACTTAGATTTCTATTAAATTGATGGTTGTACTTAATGTGCATATTCTTTTTTCTATTGATATTTGTTAAACAAGCTATTTGAAGCTTATTCTTAATTTCTTAACAATACCCCATTGTTCTTCTTTTACCATCTTCATTAATGGGCATTTGGTTTCATACGGTTGGTCGACGGACATATTTGTGTTTCATTTATCTATTATTGTTAGAGTAGCTAGTTCCCTAGGTGGATACTTCGTGATTTAGGACAAAATTATTTCAGTTTTGAAGCTGATAAGTTTGTTGACGGAAATACAGACTGGAATCTTATTCTTTAGTCGCTGACTGTCTTTTTCTCAAACAAATATAGCCTTAGATTTTGGTTAGTGTTATAAATTCTTTGGATATGTTCTATTTTGTTCATTTTGTTTTTATCTGTACATTTTATTCAAATTTCCTATAGGTGCAGATGTTATCTTGCTGTGCCTTAACCATTTGCCAAGCTTAAGTTTTGGTGGTTAAATTAGCGTTGAACAATATATCATGGTCAATCTATTTGTCTACTATTTAATTTTCTAAATAAACTCACAAAGTTGTGAAACATGTATGTATTGTTCATGCTCGTTCAGCAATGTGTAATGCATAATAAGATCATATACCTCAAGTTGCGGAACTACAAGTAAGTGTGACTTTTTTTAATATGTAATACATACATGCTGAAAGACACCCACGCCAAC